GGCTTGGAAACCTTCCCCACTGTCACAGCTAATTCTGCATGAGGTTCAGTGAAAGCCTCACCCAGACCTAGATGCCACCAAGGTGCCTTTGACACAGGCGGGAAGCGTGTTTTTAGACATTTTCATGTAAATTCTTCTTTTCCTGGAGTTGCTGGTAAGGTTTTTAGCAACAGCATGTCAGAGATGGGGTTTGAAATGCCTAAGGGATGCTGTACTTCCCCTGAAGGTTAGCACTAGCCAGCTTTTGGGTTTTTTTTAATTGTAGAGCTACACTGGTTTAACAAAGATTGCCTCCGGGACGTTAATTCCCGTATTTACAACTCTTACCACAGAAAATGCACTTACAATGTTTATGAAAGTTATCTGAAGTAAATACAGCACCCTCGATATTTGATGTCTTTTTTTTCGCCCTATAATTTCGACACTTCTGCCTTTTTGCCTAAAGGTAACAGTTTGTAACTTTTGCTAATTATTTGTCATGATCAGCTTTCAGTTCCACCCATTCTCAACTGGTCAGTTTGGTCCATATTGCTCATTTTATGCATTTTCTTTGAATGATGTTTTCAGACAATTTTTTTATACATTTTGGAATGCATGAAGCTAGAATTGATTCACATGACATTGCTAACAATAATGCTGCAAGCAATAAAGAATCGGTACTAATCATAATCAAGTGTTTGGACAGACATGTATATTTCTCAACTTTTAAAAAAGAACTTTTTTATGTTGATGCCTCTTTATAAGACACTAAAAGTCAGACTTTTTATTCCCACTCTAGCTCAGAAAAATCTGAGGAAATATCTTTTCCTTTCTTCTTGCACAAAAACTGTCAAACAATAGAAAACGTCATAGTATATTTTATGCACTAGCATGGCATTTTCTGTAAACTGATGTTGGAAATATTAATATTAAATGGCTGTGCCTCAAGTGTGTAATGTATTTATAAATATGCATTTATTAATATATTTGGGGTTAAAATGCTATCATGTTCTACTTCAATACCATATTTTTATACACTTGGTATGGCATGATATAGTTATACAACAAAATACATTTGTATTTTTACTTGCATCTGTATTTTTGTCTTTTGTTCTAGGTTATGTACTGTAATTTTCAAAGGGTTGACATAATTTACCTTCTTTGTATGAGAAGCGTGTTCCATTCTTTTAAAAACCTGTGTATTTTTACATCACAGTATACGTTAAAGGAGCAGTGATTGAAATAATTGTTGTCAAGGAAGAATGTATTAAAATTATTAATAAGACTTAAAACCACATGAGACTTACTGAATCATCTGATCTGACCTAAATTTATGACCCTTCCTTGCAGTTCTTCCCTTCACGTACTTGCACAAAGATAGGACGATCAAAAGGAGAAAAAAGGCAACATAATAAAGGCCGGTGAAAACTGGACATTTGCATTAGGTCAATGTAACATTTTGTGATTATAGTAATATAAACAAATAAACTATAAGGGCATTCACATTAGACCTCATTTCAAGCTGAACTATTATAAAGTGATTAACAGCCTCACACTCCCGCTTTAATTAAGTTATGTTGTGAAATATTCAGCATTTGAACCTGTTCTGGCCTGCCTCTTTTATCATTGAATTACCATCCTTAATGTGTTTTTCTGCTGAAAGATGAATTTCGTTTAAGGATTACTGTACACTGCTGTGGCATTTTGTGGTTTCTTGTCAGCCCTTGTGAATCTAGATCATTCCTAACTTCAGTTTCTCTGACATGTCCTATATGCACAGTCTCTTGACTAGCCTGTCTCTGTGGATTTATTAACTCATATTGTATTCCTGTAGAAATGAATGGACATTTTTGATTAACTTAATGATAGAAATTTCAGATGACAGTAGAGTTTACTTCTAGAGCTTACTTCAGGTTATGTAGGCCACAGCAGCTCTCTAGTGACCTATCACTTCGCAGAAATTTGTTTTGAAAGTTTCAAGGCAGCGGACATCTGTCTGCCAAATACTTTCAGATGGTTTTAGCAAGGAGGGAATTGAAGGGTCCTTCTGAGCTGGGGTCTCTAAATCCACAGCCACACCCAGCGCTGCTTTTTCCTTTCCTGAGGTTGGTTTTCAACTGTTATATCCAACCACATATTTCAGAGGCTGCCTTCAGGCAAACTCACACTACTAGGTGATTTTGAAGAAGGGTCAATGGGTGATGTTCCAGCTAAGCATCCTGTTTCCTTCCTTTCTAGTTGTGCCTACCCTGGACCAAAGCTACTCAACTCAGCACCATATGATCAGTTTTGGTGGTGTTTTTTCCCTCTCAGTTGTCTGATGATCAGTCTGTGCTTTTGAGGAGGAGAGGACATGCTGAACAATATCATCATGTTCTCTTGGTTTGTCACATAAAAGTCCTCAGAGGGAGTTCACCAGATCTTGAAAAGTGACAACAGATCAGGGGGGTCTGTGTACTCCCACTACCCTGCAGAATTGTCTGCTCTCGGGGAGGTAGCAAGGCAGAGACTTCTCATGCCATACCTGGTCCCATATGGATATAGTGCCCCAGGGATTGCACCTGGAGCCAGGAACTTCCAAAGGAGGTCTTTGCCCTGGCAAGGTGAAGGTTTGCTCAAGCACAAAGATTTGAGAGACATGGCTTTGGCTCCCTGCACAGTAATTTTATGCCGTAAATTACACTCAACTCTGACACTGATTGAAAATATAGGTAGTAATTTATTTGTGGGAAGGTGGTCTAAGGTCCATGCTCTCCTCTGTGTTGGACAAACATAGCATGCATATCTTTGCCCCCAGAGCTCACAGCTCAAATGGGCAAAAAGATGCTAAGATGCAGTGTTCACAGGGAAGGATCCACAACTTGCAAAAAACATGGTAAAAAAGCCCCTTACTGGTTGGTAGGGACAAACACAAGAGAAGATCAAGCAGATTCAATGAAAGTGGGATAAGATAAAGGTCAGAGAAGAAGCAGGGGAAGGTGTGGAACAGAAGGTAAGAAAACACTTTGCAGAAAGGAAGCTAGCAGTACAGGTGAAAATGCACCTGGCATAAAAGGAGGATCACAACAGAGATCATTGTGTTTGCTGAAGACAGTTTCTGAGCTGAGTCTCCCAGCCACTTCTCCTTCCTGAAGTCATAGATCAGGGAAGAGACACAAGGCTTGGTGGTCTTGACTTGGACAGTTCAGAGCTCCTGGTTGTGAGACATGGGGATGAGAAGGGGGTAACCATGGCGGGGTCTTTGTTCTCATTTCACAAGCTCTGGTGTGATAGTTCCTGCAGCTGCTTGTCCATGCTGTAGCCAATACTGTCCCAACGGAAGCTACTTTCCTACTTTCATGAGAGCACTGGCCACCTTAGTGCTTATGGAGCGCTGAGTATGTGAAACATGCTTATCTGCTAGACAGAAGAAAATGCAAGGCTTGTCCTGTCCATACAGTTGTTGTGTGTTCCTAATGAGTTGTCCCGAATGGAAGCCTTTTATCCTCAGAGATATTGGTGTGGGAAATTCAGACTGTGCTTATTTTACCTTAAATTTCAGATGGCTTTTCCTCGTTTTAAAACCTAAAAATTTGATTAGGACTGGTGCAAATGGAAGCTGGTGCTAAAATGAAGTATCCTATTGTTCTGTCATTCCTGGAAAAGAATTGGAGATAATTTCCTGTACGTGATCTTGGTTTCTTAATTCACCTAAAACAAATCCTCTCCTAAGGCAGTTGCTCAGAATAGCAGCATGCACGTCAGGATTGTGGCATTGACACACTGTGCTAGTTACAGGATTCCTCGTAATGCGTAAGAACAGCTAAGGAAACATGAACTGGAACACAAGCAAACTGAGCTAAATCTAACTTTTCCCAAGTGAGGGGAAAAATTTGTGTCCGGTGATTTTTGAGATCCCTTAAAAGAATCTGAGCTCTTAATTTCAGCCAAAAGTAAAAGTAAAACTATGCAAAAGAAGGTTTTGATATACCTACCTTAAATTAGAGCTTTTCTTTAGCCAACTTCAGAGTGGAATTCCAATGATTTCAGGCAGTGTAATACATTTTCTTGAAAGAAAAGGCATATGCTAAACCAGCAAAAGAGGTATTTCCTCTACATTAACTAGTGCTTGGGAAGAGCATGCCAGTGGATTGTAAGCAAGTAGCAATATCACCAGTCCCTTCCATTAACAGGATCAGTATCTCATGGGAGAAAGTGAGTGACAAAAAAGGTCTTGCAAAAGTGGAAGGTTAAAAAGCTTGCACTTCAGGGGGAATATAAAAATAATGCTTCTCATCCTCAGTTTCATTTAAGTATAAAGGGTGCTTAAGCTGTGTACTGTGTTCCGTCTGTAGTATTGAATTCTGTTTAGCTTGTGTAAAGAATTAACACAAAAAAGGCTAAATGGAAATTCTGACTGATGCAGGGAGGTACAAAAACCTACCAAAGCAAATTTGTTTAGAGCAAACTAGGAAACTAGGTAACTGTGTCAATAAACTAGCTTTACACAACGCATTAAAATACACCTTATTTACTCTGCCTCATCTACAATTCTGTTAGCAGCACAAGGTTATTTTAATACTATACAGAGATCAGAGACTAAAAACTGCTTGTGGGTACAGGCACAAAGGCTTCTCAAAGAGAGAGAAATACAAATACTCGTTCATGAAATTCTTGGGAAGCTTTCTTTTTTTTAATCAGCATTGCCATTTTATTGTTTAACCTACCCTGCTTGATCTCCCTACTTTTGGTTAATACGGGAGTCAATTACAGCTTCATCTGTGCAGAATTAACTTTATAGAATATACACTAGGGATTTGTCTATCTCCTCTATTTAGATCTATGTCATAAAAAAATATGTAGTAGAGAACTGTGTGCAAGCACTGCATATGGTACAGGCTTTGCAGATTTATTGTAAAATCATTTTAAATCGGTTAAGCTCTTGCCAGAAGTTAATTAAATATGTTCCTTTGGTGGGGGGTGGGGGACTGTGTGCGTGTGTGTGTGTGTCTGGGGGCGGGGGGGACCCTCTGTCTCACTAGGTGGCAGTGTCTGATTACATCTGGAAGGACCACGCCAGCCAGCCTGATGTCTCCAGCTGTGACCTCCAGCACCAGGATGAAATCCCTGACTCTGCAGCCAGCTTGAAAGGTAGCACCACTGTTCACGTCTCTGTGTATACCGTTCACCTCAGCGGCCTCCGGGAGCTCTACAGGCACTTCCTCCGGCTGCCTGATGGGGCTATCATTGAGGTAGGTCCAAGCAGGCTCCTCACTGAGATTTTGAAGGCAAAGAGGAGCACTTCAGAATTAGGTCAGCATCAAAACAGGAAAACAGGCCTGCCTGACCCTGCCCAAAATACACACTGAAATCTTCCATAGGAAGACCTTGCTCTGAAACAGTAGAGTCAATGAGTTAATGCTTTTGCGGTGCAGAGTAGCAATTTAGGATTGTTTATAGAGCCATTTAAAGGTAATTATGTAAGATATACATTGAAACTACACACATAGAGATTATTTATAAATATGTTTCACTTAGAACCACATAAAGTCATTCTGTACAGGAATTATTATATATATAAATATACAAAGTAAGTATTGTGCACATTTATTATACAGCTAGTATGGTCATTCACTTAGTTTGTCCTCAGATACACAGAGCTAAGGCACAGATAGATTACTTACTGGCATCTTGCATGTTTTAGATTCAATCCTGGATGTTGTCAGATTTTTAGCAGCTTGTGCACTAAAAGACAATATAGGATGGTACTAAAGAGAAGTATCACCCATTACTTGTTTCATAGGCTGCATTTTGTTCCTTGTTTTTTCATTTTTATTCTAAGTGCTTCGAAGATTTGCATTTCCTTTTTGCCTTTGGTCTTCTGTTGAGAGACTATTAAAAAAAGATTGACATTTAAGAGAAAGTAGAGTCAAAGAATATCACTTTACCTACCCAGATAAGAACTGGGAGCATCACAATGGAGATCTCTTTACCAACACTGGCAGAAATTATAAAGTACAATGTTTTCAACTGCTCACTTCTAAGGTCGGGGTTCAAGTACCTTTTTCCAGCATAAGACAAACATTGCTTCTGCTCCTTTGTTTCAATTTTTCAAGGCTCTTTTCTTTATTAAAGATTTTATTCTTAATGTCTTTGCCCTACTTGGCTTTTTAAAGTAAATTTAATTTAAAGGAAACTGTCCTCAAGGAATCCAAACACAATTTTCTGCCCAGGAAACTTGTGATTCACCAGAGTGAAGACACCAGAGTCTTCGAGCTGGCCAAAGAAAACAAGAGAAGGCACGTGACCTACCTGAAGTAGAACTTAATTACTGGAACAAAGAAACCAGCAAATCCAAGTCCATGCCTAAGTCTGTTGAAGAAGCTCTGCACATAAATAATTGCCTAGACTTTTGCTTAAACACCTTTTCCCTGGTTGAAGTCAACAATGTAGCCCAATTCCTACTTTGTGCCTGTTACAAATGTAGCTCTTTGTGGAATGTTTTTTCCCAATTAAGTTCTTCTCAGCTTTTTAGCTGAGAGGTTTCGTTCAACTTCCACAAGGCTGTGGAAGGAGGCTCTTTGAACACCCAAGGCAATCTTATCCCAGTGCACTGGTTCAGTTCATTAATCCCTTCTGTATTTCTGAGAGAGGAGAAATGCATTCCCACAAAATGCAGTTTTGTTTTCCCAGGTGAGTTTTTGACAAGCTTCCAGCATCGACAAAGTGAGCACTGCACAATAAGGATGCTCAACCCACTTCTTTACAGTTTCCCACATCAGATCACAACATAATCTATCCCTAAAATCCACATGACTGAGTCTTATACCATCGTCTTGAAAGCTGCATGTCTAATTTAGAGGATCAATGCATGCTTTACAGCATTTTTACTTGTAGAACTAAATACAATTACATGTAAGAAATGTGCTTAACTAATAATTGCGGTAAAACCTACATACAGATCTTAGATTTAGCTAATAACAGATGTTATTATACATTTGTGTATTTTATGGGTCAGAGCTTTCTCCTTCAGTTCCAAATTAAGACTACTTAACGAACTTTAACACTATCCACTGACTAGTGAGAAGTTTGCTGCCATGGGGTAAAATATACCTGAGCTTTACCACTTGCTGCTGTTGTCACCCATCAGGAACAAGTTTTTTTGCCTCTACTGAAGCCAGACAAGCAGTGGTATTTGAGTGGTGTTAGAAAATTTTTAGAGCTGAAGGGTTGTATTGCAACCTTATGTATAGCTTTTAAGGTGTAGGAGATAAAAGGCTACCTGGGCTTCTTGGGATAATCTTTTCAGTCTGCTGCCTCTGTTCATAACTTGTGTATAAATATTGAGTTTGAATATTTAGAGCTAGTTCTAAAGACTCAAGTAGTTTAGTTTACCTAACTCTAGTCTAGTTTAGGTATTTTGTTCCCAGTGATTCAATGGAAAGATTTTTCTGGATACTTACAGTCTATTTGGTCAGAACTTTCCTCTTATTCTAAATTTAATCATTGTCAGCTTCCATGTAATTAGCTGGATCACTCTTTAGTGTAAATAAGACTTCTTTTTTCCAGAAATTTGCCTACATAATATAATTTCATAATCTTGTCTGTTTTCTGACAGAATAATTACAACACTACACCAGAAGAAACAAGAGGGTTTTCTTGTTCCTCTCCTCACCATTCCAGAAGTGGGGAAGGAGGAAGGGCTCTTCTTCGACATTTGTGAGGGCAGAGATTGTCACTGATTCTCTATCTCTGTCATAGACAGCTGCCTTTCCTCTTTCTGCAAGATCAGCAAGCCTCTTTCTCCTCACCAGAGACAAGATATTTGTACAAAGTGCTACCTTGGGACCATAGGAACATGGTCTGTAAGAACGGGAGAGGTCTACAGCAATAGTTACATGTCCTACCATTGTATATACATCTACCTTGTCTGCAGAGTCCACAGAGCAAGAAAACAACCGACTTTCCCTTATTCTTCCTCTCTTCTAGGTGGACTAGTGCCTGTAGAACACAAGGAGTAATTCAACAGCATCTAGGAACTGGGGGTTACGTGCACCTTCTTCCTGCAAAACAATCATGCTTTTTGTTGCAGTAACATACCAAGGGTGAAAATTTAATTATTTCAGTGTAACCTTTTATTTGTTTGTTCACTTTTATTAAGAAACTCTGAAGGCAAACTCTGAGGATAACAAAATGAAAAGACTGACTTTTAGTTTATGTGACTTTCTGGAATCATACCTGAAAGAGCCATAACACTTATTCCTAATTATTGCAGTGGAACCTCATAATTCAAGCATCTGGGGACTAAGATCTCCCCATCAGGTGTGTTATGCCTTGTGTCATTACAGTATGACCGTTGCTGATGTTGGTAGGTGCTCTTCAGAAATATGTATAATAGGAAGACATGAGCAATTGGGTGGAAAACAGCACAGATATTATAATAATTTTGAAAAAGCCTCTGCAAATGTAGACATTGTTCAGAGGGCACCACCAGCATAAGCAGTAGATTCTTAGCATTCAGCTGACTGAGGTGCGCGTGTAGGCTCGCGAGATCTGAGGCAGTGTATTGCTTGCCAAACTCACTAGCATGAGAACAGTATTGAAATCACCAGGCCAAATTCTTTCTCAAATTTGTGTGTTCAGCTCTTGGTGACTTCAACCTCGAATACGTTTCTGTATCTTCAATGTTGTTTGGCAGGCATAGGAGAAATTTTGCATAATCTTGCTGTAAAGTCCTTGGATGCTCATAAGGAATTCACTGTATATTTACGACCTCATCCTACTATTCTATATTTCAGTCAAAGCAAGATTTTCTTATAGCCCTAATTCAGCAAAGCAATTCAATGTGAACTTAATTTTATCCAAGGAGCCAAACCACTAAATTTACTAATAATTTCCTTTTTTTTTTTTTTTTCCAAATAATTAAGGCCAAGTTTTTAGTGCTGTATGTAGAAGTACTAGCTGGAAAAAATGTCTCTATATGCAATAACCTCTTTAAAATGTTTAAAACTTTAAGTGTGATATAGCCATTAGAGCTCCAGCTTTCCTGGTATAACTAGAAATTTCATGCTTGGTATGAAAAGTAGTTTTATAGGTTTCATAAATATGAGGCAAAACTAACTGTTTTAAAAGGAGCATTAAGTACCAGGTGGCATGTATAAATTGCCCTAAAAATGTTAAATAAAAAGATTTTTTTTTTAAATGTGCAGCATAAAAATTATGGAGGTTAAACTTGTAGGTGCAGTCCTTTTATCATAAGCATTGTAAAACTTAAAGAATTCACATGCAGTAAAAATCATTTTCCTTCTTACCTATGATATATTTCTCCTTTATAGTAATTTGATTTAAGTCTTGGCTAACCAAGGAATGACCTTCTCAAAATAAATCATTTTTTCATGCTTTTCTATATTCATTAATCTGATGTTATTTTAATATACAGGAAATTATTGAATTTTAGTATTTTAAATGTATTTTAAATCCATGCACAGAAAAGTTAATGATAGTGGTATGTATTTGCTGTCCACATGGTGATAACACCAACTTGGTGATTTTTATCTCAACTTTTGCTGACTGGAGTTGATTTCTTATTAAAAGGACAAAGATAAGTCTCTTTAACTCAATAAAAAATCAGTTTCTTATTATAGGCCTAGTAAACCTCAGCATTGTAGAGAAAGTTTTTGTATAGTATGATTTTATCTATCAAATAAACCTTCACAAATGTCAAGGATTCATCCAATTTAAACTTACTGCATAAAAAAGATCTGTTTTCCCTAATTACTTGAAAAGCACCTGGTAGTAATAGGATAAGACAGCGTAGGTGACTAGCCAATTACTTAGTTTAAGCTATTTACATCAATCCATATGCTATAAATTATGTCTAAACCCTCTTGCACTTCTGGAAAAGTGAATAAAATCATATAAGTTTATTTTGAATACAAGATCAGATATGATATGCTGAGTGACACTTAAAAAGAATGAAACAGTAACCGTAGCTTATTTTCAGAAGCAATCTTGACACTAATGCTAAATTACAGCTTGGAAACATCTAGCATTTTTACCTTTATGAGAAAAGGCTTTTTACATATTTAACATAATTCTAGGGAAAATATACTGGAATTATGTATAAAGATATGTACACTGTAACCAAAGGGCATTTATATTCCCCAGTAGAATACTTACAACAATTTTATTGCCATTTGGTGTCATTTTCTAACAGATATAAAATACAGCCAGTAAACAAACTAGACTTTAGATTTAAGCTGACAGCTGTTCCTTCAGAAGCAATATTCAGATATTTAATCTTAAGAATACTGAATATTTTAGAATTGTTTGAGCAAACTATACTTTTAGCATGTGAAGAACTGCATGCTTTTATATGCAGTTCTTGGATCTGATAATGACAGTTAAAAACAACCTTAGAATAATCTACACATTTGTCACTCCCATATATTCCCTGGGCAAGTCAACAAATTGCCTCATGTTTTATTCTTAATTCCACAAATTCTTTTTTTTTGTACACAGTGTTGATATGAATATTGGTCCCTATTTTTTTCCCATATGTGCCTAAGCCATGAAGTTGACTTCAATGCAGTTTATGCATGTGAATGCAGCTTTTTCTGGCTCTAATTTCATTAAGGGAATAAATTGGCCAAGTTTACTGCAAAGCCCCACATGCTGTTTTCATAAAGAGTCTCACTCTTTATAACTCTTCATGACTTAGTAGTCGCTAAAGGTTTATGGAGAAGAGAAAGAGGGAGGATCACTTCAGCCCAGTAACTGAGGTTGGTACATTACCTAATGAGTTCACCATCACACAGCTTCATCATCTCACCAGACACCACAGAGGGAACAGCACAGGTCTGGCCTTTCCATAAGCTGGGTCAACCGTGGTGAGTGGGTGAGGACTCGGCTGAGGAGAGGCTGGGCAAAGGCAATTATTTGGTGTAAACTGACCCACTTTAGCTGGCTTCAGCAGCGTCACGTCAGGCTATCCACAAACATAGCCAGTTTATGAGTTTGTTTCCTGGAGATCCCTGTAAAAGCAGGGATTAACAGCAAATGATTTATCCCTCACAAAAGTGATTCCACCCACATTAACGCATGCAGGTGTGTACATACTCCTGGGCTGAGTAGGCTTCACCACATGCTGTCTGCCTAATTCTGAGATTTAATCTTGTCCCATAGAAAATGAATAATACTTTGCAACTTCATTCAGTGGGAGAATGATCCCTCTCGACATGCACTGAGGTTCAGTTGGGAATTATACATGGTAAAAGTCAGCTGAGAGATACTCCCATGGACCTAGGCATTTGAAGAAGTACAGGCTGAAAACTTACAGCCCTTTTGCTGAGGATCATGGTAGTATAGCTAGTTCCACTGCAAATAAGAAGTAAATCAGACTGTTTTAAGACATTTTTACCAGTATATATTTCACCTTTAATGCTATAATTCAATTAAAGATAATCAGTTTAAGAAAGAAATGAGTTGTCCAGGCAGTGCTTTACATCCTGCTGAAAAGATGAGAACAGAAAAACAGTTTTCATGGAGAAATCTTGTGCTTGTATGATTTTTTCTTAAATTGATTCAGCTCATCTCACACGTGACATGTGAACCCTGTCCTGAAATGGACCCAGTCCATTGTTCTGTGCACTTGTAGGGGCTAAGCCAATCCATCTGCTTCAGATGAAGTGGATGTGCACAGTGTGTCTCAGCCAGGAAGTAGTTATGTTTTCATACCTTCTGTTTCAGGTTGTTTTCCCTGTCAAGTATAAGATTAGGTCCTTACTTTTTTCCCAGTAAACAGTGGTATAGTTTTAAATGAGAACAGTGTCTATGAATCTATTAAGATTATCAACTGCAGTCAAGACTAGGTTACTGAATGCAACAGGGTGGAAATGTAGGAGGCAGCCTTGCAGCATGTGGTCATTTCTCCTCTGCCTCGTTTTCTACAAATCCCAGGTTCTATATATTTTACACCCTGGAAAGTCACAGGGTCATGTGCAAAAAGATTTATTTCCTTCAAGTTGCCATGTCCCACTTATCTGCTGTGGGGACTGTGCTGTGATAGAAGGAATATAAAAGGGATGAGACAGGTCCACCACTAGCTTTTGGCTGCATTCACAAACTTTCAGGTAGCCAAAAAATTACTGAAATAGCAGAACTACAGCCTTATAGCCTTGTTCTGTATATGAATACACAATTTTAAATCATGCTGATTCTTTATTACTGGCAGAGAACATGGGATAAGGAGCAAAGATGACACACCTAACCAACAAATATATTATCTTCATGGATATTTTAATTTCTTTTTCCATGGGGGCTGAAGAGTTAGAGCTGTCTCCTTCAGTTGTTCACAGATGGGATGGAAGCAAGTTCAAGCTCATCCACTGTCTGAGCCAATGCTCACAGGAAAAATCCTGTCATAGCACTGTAGTTGTGCTGTATAACAAACAACAGTGCTAGTAATTAAGAGGCACTTTAAAAGTGCTATTTTGTATTAAAAAAAATCCCTTTCAGTTTCAAACTACTTTAAACACTGAGATTTGCTGTATTTTCAGTGATTTTCAGAATGATTTTATGCTGCAAGGGCAGAGCCACTGATTGTTGTGGAAGGTTTTTTGTAGTTTTAAATTCTTATAATCTTTATTCATCTATCACATAGTTTTACCTGAATCAGCAGTAAAATCTCTGAAGTCAAAGGATAATTGCCAAAACAGCATTAATTTATTTTATCCAAATAAAAAAATAACCTTTGAAAAAGTACCTTGCAGCTATACAGATTGACAAAATGCATCAATTATATTTTTGCTCACTTTATAATTACACTGCAGTAAGTGCACAGTGAACTTTACTACATGGTTGATTAACCATAAGGTTACTGCTATTAAGTCACTCTCAGAAACAACAACTTGGACTTTAATTTAAGAACATAGCTCTGTACAACTTCTGATCAAGTCTAAAAATCTGACATATCTATACAAGCTTCAATTTAAAGTACACAAGAAAATGATAGCACCTTAATTGTAGCAAAGGGTTCCTATTGCTTTGGTCAGGCATGCTGGTTATGTGAATGATCAGATTTTAAAGAGCTCTTGGTATATCTTAACCAACACCAAAGGAAAAGCTTTTCCAGAGAACTCTAAATATCCCAGTCCTCTTTTTTGCATAGAAACAAGTCTTGTGAGGCGCAGCTGAGGGAGCTGGGATTGTTTAGCCTGGAGAAAAGGACACTCAGGGGAGACCTTATCACTCTCTACAGCTACCTGAAAGGGGATTGTAGATGGATGAGGGTCAGTCTCTTCTCCCAGGCAACAAGTGACAGGATGAGGAAATGGCCTCAAGTTGCACCAAGGGTGGTTTAGTTTAGATATTAGGACAAATTTCTTGACAACCTGAAAGGGTTATCAGGCACTGGAACAGGCTGCCCAGGGAAGTGGTTGAGTCACCATTCCTGGAGGCATTTAAAAGACATGTAGATGTGGCATTCAGGGACATGGTTTAGTAGTGGACTTGGTGGAGTTAGGTTTACGGCTGTACTCAATGATCTTAAACATCTTTTCCAAGCTAAACAATTCTATGAAATTAAATGAATTTAGTGTCCCAACTTCTGGGGAATTAGGATTAGATCTCCTAATTAAGTATACCCTGATGATATTTCCACATTTTTCTTCTCAGATTATTGCAACTGGAAAAATGTTTCTCTTTCTGTTAGCTCATTGATGCCACAGGCCTCCTTTTTGTCTTCTATCTTCTTGAACTTCATGTAATACAAAAGCATTGCTTTGAAGCTCTACCATGACTCTGTTGTATATTTATGCCATGAGAGAAACAACTTTGGACAACCTAAAACTGGACTATCTCTTAGTTTGAAAGACTAAAACAAAAAATAAAGTAGTAGCTGTTCTGTGTAAGTGGTATCTAGCTGAGAAGAAAGAATAGCATGGTACAAAGAAACTTGCCTCGGACGTAGGATGCGCAAGACCACTCCAGCATTTAGTCACATTTTCATGTGAGGTGGGCAATATCCCCTGCATTGTCTGTATTCCTCTATTCCAGAGGTAACACCACTTCCTTGTTTCACAGTGTATCAAACCCAGAAGTACAACAATGATTGTAAGCTATGTCAACAGATAGATTTTAGGAATACGCAAAAAAATACAATAGAAATTAGAAGTTATTCTGGTACATATACCTGTGTTTGTTTAATTTATTACAGCTGTGCTAAACCAGTTTGAGAATAGCAAAATTCTTTAAAACATTATTGGAGTAACCTGCTTTTTTGTGCTAATATTTGAGTAACGGCAGCTAGAGAGCTGAGGCTCAGTTACTTTTCAGTATCTGAAATTTGATTTCTCCTCACATTCGTCTGAGCAAAATTTTTCTTATATGGGCATTCTAAAACAGGAAAACAATCAGAGCCAGGGGACTCTTGTGCAAAATGCCACCCACATTACACAAGCTGAGGATCTGACGTGATGAGGTAACTACTAATGAACTGAGCTGAATCTGAAGCGGAGTCATGGCTTTATAACCAGTTTCCAGTCCTATAACATCATGTCCTCATGGCCATGATTTTCTTCTTTGAGGGCCTATTCTTTATTCACTCAAATCTTCTCCATGTGTCAAGAACATCATAGGAAGAAACTATTTAAAGCAACGGGCGTAAAAATCCCCATTCCACTGTTTTACTTAAGCATTTAGAGTGAGAAAAATTAGGCAAATTCACATTTCACATGTGTTTAAATTGTTAATCTCACTGCTCTATCTGTATTAGTGAATACATTTACAGTAAGTTTTACTTTATAATATTTTGGCAGAACTGTTAGAAAAATTGTTATAAGCCTAGGAGTGGAACTGAACCATGAAAGCTAAACTGTAAGCTGCTGCTAAGCTGGGTTATTAGTATGACAGAATAAAATTTCACACACACAGAAGCTTCTAAGCTGTGATATTTTGAAAGCAAGAAGACAGGGGTGGGGAAGGGTAACCAAAGTCATCTATGTTCCCTCTGATATTTCACTGAATACTGACATAATAATATGTTGGTTTTGTCTGTTCTGTTTTTCAGGCGTTTGGTGATATTAGTGAAGAAAGTCTTTTGTGTAATGAAATGAACACAGCCCAGGAGCGCATAAGTGAAATGGACAATGTTCTGTTTACATCTACACGCATCAAGCTGAGGAAGAAGAAAAAGAGTACAGCAAGGTGGAAAAGTATTATGATTAGTATCTGTACCTAGCTGAAGAACACTACTGATACCTAAGCATAAAATGATGGGAGGGATAGAAGAAAACAAATAATCTGAAAATATGGTTTCTCTTGGGAAGACTAGGGTGCAATCAGTTAGAGCTGAAATTTCACAGCTGTATTTTCCAGTGTGTCTTCATCCTTGGGTAGTTTCATTGTCTGTGTCCTGTTTAGTTTTCCAATGCCCTCTGGGGAGTGAAGTTCAGTTAAAAGCACCTTGTGTTACTTTTAAATCCACAGTAATGTTGTCTGCTAACAGAGAAACCTTGGAAAGTTCACTTGAGCACACAAGACAAATTATTTTTAGGAAAAACTGATCAATTTATTTTATGGGTTCTTGCTCCAATATCAGTCTTGTTGGGAGAGGGAGGTCATACTTTGTCATTGGTATATTTACATAATGTCTATCTCTGCATCCTTTTTTCTAATCTTCAGGAAATCCAGTTGTCTCTGACAAGAGCTAGTTCCTGCAGTCATGCATATTCCATGAAGTTGTTTCCATCCTGATCCACATCCATGGTATGGTTACTGTCTGATAGGGTTTATGTTTCTGACAACCACATCTCTGTATGTAAAGTGTTATCCTGCAAATGCTCCATTTGTAGCTCTTCTGTGATTCAACAAGCTTTGCAGTGTGGTGAGCTCATGGGATCAGATCACAGATCATGCAAACATTATTATTTCATATGATTTTTTTTCCTTCCAAACTGTGGAACACTCCTAAATTTCTCAGGTTTGCTTGCTCCTGCTTTTTCAAGTTTGCTTGTACCTGCTAGCTGTGGTGGGGAAAATGTTGCTTATTTGTCTTTCAAGTTTCATGACTGAAACATTAACAGCATTTTCAGTAATTATTCAAAGCACAACACGATTGTAATTACAAGACTGCAAAAATGCCCAGAAGAGGAACAATGATGGCTTCATCTTCCAGTTCTGTAACCAAGTCCCAACAGGTTGCAAAATTTACAAGATCCCAGAGACCATTCTTCTGAGGTCTTCATGATAGCCATACCTGCTTCCCCGGGAGCTACAGAAGCTTAAAGCAACCTGGAGGTTATCCTCATGCTTTCTTAGCAGTATTAAAGTTTTGCTCATTGGTTTGAACCAGTTAGTGCCTATTCTATTTAGCTCCATACAAATGCATCAGAAATTAAGTCCATGCCACAAAGGCAAGAACTATGAGAGACAACAGAAGGAGAAGATGGGAAGGGGAACACAGGCAAGAAAGGTGAAATCATTTGTGCAAGGCCACCAAAATCAGAGGCATGTGTAGAAATATAGGGCAAACTGCCAGTGCCCTAACTCTTGGTCTTCCCTGTGGTAGGATCCTTTTTGTTCTGAAAATGCAGTTGGAAAAGGGAAGAGTCTCACTTTACTGCTATTTTGAATCATTTATGTAGAATGCTGTAATCTATTAACTTAGTAATCAGTGACATTTTTCTAGCATGTGTGATTTTCTGGTGTCCCTTTGTTCACTCTGGTACGGGACAAATTTTTCAGATCCACTTACCTTTGCAAGATCTTACCCAATATATTGAGCATTGTTGATTAATTTTGTTACTTAAATCTATGATTCTCATCCACCTGAATAATCAGGAAATTACATTAGGTAGTAACCTGAACAATCAGGAAATTACGTTAGGTAGTAACCTGAACGTTTAAATGTCACTCCTGAGAACAGTTTTTCTTTGGGTTTGCAAGATAACAATCTGGTTTCCAATTTTTTTTTCTGGTTTATTTTTTTTTCCGGTTTATTTTTTTTTCCCCCGATTTATTTGTGTGCATGTGCATGTGTGTGGTTATTTTATGAGTTACACTCAGACAGAAATGGTGTTTGAATCTTCTGAATATTTACAAGAACTGATGCTATTTGTGTGGTTTCTATTGCATCAAATATTACTTGGATGACTTCTCTCTGTCATAACAGGAATAAAATTGCCTTTTTAATGTTTGCTTTGCCTGTTGACCCTTTAAACCGCTGTACATAACTTTGAAAAAGAAACTAACTGAAAAGAAATCATTCAGTCTCAGAATTTTTCTGTGGGTTTTTTCTGCCTGAGCAGCATTGCTCTTTTCACCAATTACACCAGATTTTGGGGTAATACCAGTTACCCCACAATAATTAATGACACACGCAATATGGTGGAGGCTGCTGGGATTGCCTGTGTTCATGACTGTCCTGTGCTGTGACTTAAGATCATGATCTGTAACCTATTCCAGTTTCTGGGCCGCTGTACCAAGAAGACAGCATCATACTATGTGCATCATACTATGTGCATCTTCTTGGCCTCAGTTTTGTCTTTCAACATGACTGACTATAATGGTAAAAATCCCTTTGGGCAATATTAGTACCCCAGGTTTCCCACTACTGAGTTATGATATCCCAATCTGGTTCTGTGAGATTTTGACTTCAGTGTTGGTAATACAGTGTTGGTAGTTAGTCTGATGGCAGGACTGACTTTATTTGCGGAACCACCATACCTTCAGTTCTAATAGGATTGTGCTGACTTTTTAGCAAATGTGGATCTGGTCCTGAGATCCGCATGAGGGACTTGATTGACCACTTTTATTCCCTCAGTTATACTGGAATATCTACACTGACTTTCATCTGATCTGGGATGTGAAATTCTGTAATTACATATTTGTGAAAGATGAATTTAAAGTATGCTTAAATATTAAGTAGATCTACCTTACTTTTTTTCCCAGAAAATGTAACATCCTTCCTATTAATTTTGATTACTTACATCCCACGAGTTCCCATGATTGTTGGTCAATATACAGTGGGTGGCATTGGCTTTGAAATTGTTTGCTGAAGTGCTCTTATCAGCAAGACCATCCATAATGCTCAGTTATAGCTGGATAGTAATTGCCTGTCTATGCAGTGTTCCTTTACAACAGTTTTCTCCTGTGTAGCTATATATATGTAGTCATTACTGAAAAGTGTAAATAAAGAATCCTTTTAGTGGTGTAGTTTCCCTGGGTACCTACTGTGCTCTTATTATCTAAAACATACTCCCCATCTGTAGTTCTGTTCTATTAAAGGATAAAGACATAACTATGAATTAAAAATTAAAATGCTTGTTGCAGATTGGAGAGCAAGGTCTAATAGAATATATCTGGTGCTAGGCTCACAGTACAGTAGATAGATTACACTAAGCACCAGTTAAGCAAGGGGATGAAAAATGAGTGATTTTCATCATTCAGTTAAATATAGTGCTAAGTGGTATGTGCTAGCATTAAAAGCAAATTACTTAGCACTTCACCAATCACAGCATGAGAGCATTCCATTGGAAACAGTATTTCCAGTGATACTCAGTCCTCAGTTTTATTAAATAAATCAACTGTTAATGCTTAAGGAAGCAGTAGAAGACATATTGTTATGGTAATATAAAGATTGAAAATGTAAAAATAAAGAGACACAGTACCTCATTTTAATTAAATGTGCTAAGAAAACTTCCCTCTCTCTTAACAACAAAACTCCATGGTGCTGGCAAATCTGTAATTTCCTGTACTTTTTTTAGGTCTTCCTTTCTTCCTAATGAATATGACCTTTCTTTTTTTTTCTTCTTTATAATGACATCTTTTTTTCTCATAAATCTGCTGACATGTCACTGAACATTTTGATGAGCTTTTCTGATTCCCTCCTATATCTCCTTGATAGGATATTATTATCCAGTAATCTAAAGATAGGGAGCCTTATCCTTGGCACAGGTACTTTTTGACTGCTCAGTTAAAGACAACGGAGATGTGAGAATTTACAGCACAAGAGGGTTTGACATTGCAGCCTACCTTTATATCCCATAGCAACATTATTTCCTCCACAGCAATGGGCACTGGGAGACAGTAAAATCTGCTGTCTGAACACACGGAAGATGTGAGTAGTTGTAAACCTTCCTGAATTTCAGACCATTCCTAAGCCACCGACTCCTCCTAAACAAGAGTCATCTATTAGGAGCTACACAGCTAAAGTCCTGGGAATGACACATGTGGAAGATGGTCCAAAGTCTGAGCCACAGACTTACTTCACCAGCATGATCAAATATTAGTAGAAGAAAAAAATTAAAGTTCAGGTATAAAAATTACAAGATTGGGGAGCCTATGCATGAAGTTATCTTGAGTCCTTCATTTCACCCCAGTGCCATTCTATGTGGAATCCTATTTTGAGTTTTCTTTTATGACTAGGTTTGAAAGCTATTTTCTATGTAAAGTCTATGGTGTTTGTCTGAGATAGAGTTAATTTTCCCATAGCGGCCCTCACAGTGCTGCCCTTTGTATTGGTAGCTAGAAGGGTGTTGATAGCACACCATGGCTGTTGCTATTACACATCATGGTTATTATGTATATTGCTAAGCCATGCTCACACACCATCAGAACAGTCTCTCCAACATTCTCCTGTTCACTAGTAGGCTGGGGATGGGCAAGAAGTTGGGAGGGGACACAGCTAAGACCGCTGAGCCAAACAGATCAAAGGGATATTCCAGACCATGTGATGTCTGCTCAGCAATAAAAGCTAAGAGAAAGGATGAGAAGAGGATGGCATTCATTATTTATGACATTTGTCTTCTGGAACAACCACTACATCTACTGAAACTCTGCTTCCCGAGAAGTGGCCAGACATCACCTGCTGATGGGAAGTAGAGAATAAAATCTTTTGTTTTCCTTTGCTTCCACTAAACTGTCTTTATCTTCACTCATGAGGGATTTTTTTCCGTCTTATTTTCTCCTCTGCCATCCTACTGAGGAGGGGAGTGACAGACAGGCTTGGTGGGCAACCGATGTCCAAGCAAGGTCAACTCACCGCATAAAGAGACATGTGTAGGAAGTGAGGGACAAACTGAAAAGATGAAAACTGAGAATCTCCTGTAGGCACACAATTGCAGGAGCTCATACACGGAATAAAATACCATGTCTTCTTTGTAAAAATGACAATCAATAATTTTCTGTTGTGAGGGGAGGAAGAATAAGGGGCAATCAGCTTAAATATCTTGCAAATTTTTTTTCTCATTTTTGTAACCTACCATACCTAAGGGATAAGCTAGATATAGCTGATCTATTTTTAGTACAAATGTTGGTTGGAGGTGTTTTCAGTTTTATTCTGGCCCTACATTTCTTGGATTCTGTGAAAATTATTGTCCAAAACAACTACTGTTTCCACTTGTGCTTAACACTTTAGTGAAATCAGTGTAGTCTTTCTACTAATAGTCTAGGATAAATATGTTGGACCTTAAAGAAATATTTTGCAAAATCTTGACTTATTTCAAAAAGTTTCCTTGTCAAAAAAAATTGCCTTTTTTACAATATATATTCAGAACCAAGACATTTAAGCAACGCTTCTTTCTCTTTGTGTAGCAGATTTTCATTCTCATTTCCCTGTCTTCTTCTACTTAAATATGCACTCCAAAGTTGCCTTTTTTTTTTCTTCTTGTTTTACTATATCTTTATTCAAAGTACTTTCTTAAACCTTAAAACAACAGATATTATTTTTGGTACCAATATAACCTTTTCTTCTCAAAATACTTGAGGACGTGATACTTAACCTAGTTTTCAAAACATAGAATTCCTTTTTTCATTTTCCTGGATGACACGTAATGGTTCTGATGCATCTTTTCTGGGTATGTCAATTCTGTCATATACACTAATATGAAATAATGACACAAGGTTGACTTAAGTAGACATAATAGGGCATATTTCTAAAACATTCTGTGTGGGAGGTATATGCACAGATCTTGCTACTTGCTAATGAAATTGGGAAAGTTCTTCATCTGCACTACAGTATATATTTATAATAGCTTCCTATTCCAAAGGCGCAGAGTCCTTACATAATAAAATAATAAAAATTAAAAAAAAAAAGGACTCTGAACAACATTGTCTTGGATAGATTTTAGAACTTCACCATGTGCAGTGAATTTGGAGCAATAGACAACTATCATTGCATCCTGAACCAGTGCAGGAATGTGTATGTGCATGCTCATGTGTATAGAATGATAGCAGGACAGATTTCAGTGGAAAGCCTCTGTATTTCAAACTTTTCCAGGGTTTTATCTTCTGTTGATGTTGTTTAAGTCCTTATTTCCTGTCTTGGAATTCAAAATCACTATTTGAAGGCTTTTGTCTTTTTCCACAGATATATATATTAGATATAAATGTATTAGAGAGGCTCTGAACTATCAGAGAATATACATTACTTTTTCATAATATCTTTCAAATTAAAGATGGAAAAGTCTAAATTTGTTGATGGTCTCATCACATGATTTTATTTGTTTAACAATTGGTGGACAGGAATTGGTTATAGTCTCCAATTCCTGGTCCCCCCTGCCACATTCCCCCTCATTTTTAAGCATCGGTAAGTTTACCACATTACATTGGTCTACTAACAACTCTTAAATGCTGTCTTTTCCTTAGGAATCAGTGACCTTATGCACATGTATCTAGCTTATCAGGAACTCAACATTTAACTTGTGTCTGAGGGTGTATGTATAAACTGAGGGCTTCTCTCTGCCCCTCTGACAGCCTGAGGGATTATAGAAGGAACGTCAAAAGAGCCAATACAGGCACAACTTGGACCAAAAAGAAAATAGTGAGTACAGACTATGAGCTGTTTCATTGAGGTTGCTAATTTTTAGTTTTCCTTTCTACCCTTGCTATTGTTGCGGACACACACTCTCCTTTCAGCACAGCTGTGCCACCTGAAGAGATCATCTACAGCTGCTTTTTCATGCAGGAGAAGTTCCCTTGGGAGCTCTCCCTCACCCAGTTCAGGATGAGTAGCAAATAACTTCTGTTCCAGCTGTTCAGACCTTACAGGGCCACGTTTGTCCAAAACAGGTGCAAGAGCATTCGCATGAGCAACTCTACTAGCAGCTCCGAGTGCAGTCACCTCTGAGAGAAGGGTGGTGAGGACAGGTGGGAGCGAGGTTGTTATTTCTTCATCCAGCACAACTGCAGCTGAAGTGGATTTCTACTCTGTGTGTGTGTGTGTCTGTCCGGTTTAAAGGTTTGTTGGGAAGTCGTGTGTTTCTTAATTTGACTATGAATGTTGTGACTGATAAAATGTTTCTTTGAGATTAAGATTAAAAAAAATGCAAGAAGTGCAGTTCCGTCAGAATGTGCAAAGAAGCAACACAGAGAGACTAGACTACATTAGCAATAGCACAGGACAGTACAAACAGATCTGCAGGCCTTTATCTGATGCTGAAGGTTTGGCGTCCATGCCCCACAGGTTGTAGGGGTTTACTTCACACTTGTAATCTGGTCCTGTGGATTTAAAACCCATTAGGAACTGAGTAAAATAGGTTTATTCCTGGAATAAACCTTCTGGAATAGATTGGAATAATCTTCCGGTCTAGTTTCAACTAAGGAAACCAATGGATGTGCCCAAAAATTATAGTGTGAAGCAGAAAGCACACTAAGTGGGGACATTGGGAAGATTTGGCCTGAAAGTTCATCTAAGATATTTACCTCTGAAGTTACCCATGGCACCGTGTTTGGGATCAGGAAAGACATAAAATGCCCATCTAATGGATCAAAGTTGATGGTTGTCCACTAGGGGAACCTGCTCAGCTCTCTGGTGGCTTATACTCCCCACAGTAGTAAGGTTGTCAGCCAAGTAATTAAATAGCTGTGTGATTTAAAATACATAAATATTCCTACTAAGATGAAAAATATGGTTCACTTTTAACCACATAAACATGTTTTCAAAAAGAAAAAAATGTAATTTATGAGATTTATTATTATTATTTCAATTATATACTCTGCTGCTGCTTTCATAATTCCCTTTGTCTGTTCTGAGGGAGAAACTCAATCCATACTTCATCTACCACTCATGTACCTTGGGGTAAAGAATAGCACTAAAATGGGAGTTGTCAACCAGATTGAGACTTAGGAACACTGAAGAAGTGATGGAAGACTTTGTATCTTCCCTGAACACAACGGACATTACTCTGAAGAATTAAATAGGATATTGGTTATGCCCTTGGCTTTCTCTAGTACACTTGTCAGCTACTCTGTGTGCTATGTCTAATTATGTGTCATGGACAAGGAGTCCTATGGACTGTGCAGGCTGCAGACCTCTGAAGCCGACTCAGCTGGGCCATACACAGTCCCAGTTGTTATATTCCTGGGTAAGATGAAAAAAAAGGTGCTGAGAAAGATACTTCTTCAAGTGAAGGACCCAATCAGAGGACTTCTCCAGGCTTCTGATCAGATGGGACCTGAACAGGAGAGGAAAGGGGCCTCATACAAGGTCAGAGCTTTGTCAGCAAAGGCTACAGTGTTTTTACTGGCTCTACAAGGTTCCAGAAAGGGGAGTGATTTGTCTGGGTAATTAGGTCAGGACTGTAGTAGTTTGGCTTCCTTTTATTCTTGTTATGTGGATAACTCAGATTTATTTTTTCTTCTTCACGGACTCAGCGGTACAATTTCAAAATTGACATGGTGCTCATCAGAAGTTAGTAATTGGATAGTGCAACCCATTTGTATGATAAAGCTGAACTGTTCATTTTTGGTTTCTAAAAGCTAATAGGCATTGTTCCTTCTCTGACATTTGATTTTAATGGCTGTAATGTTGCTCCTGTCTCAACAGCTATATGTCTGGATGTTTTCCTTGACTCCACACTTCCTCTGCAGGCTGCAGGAGACTATTTTTAACACTTTAGCTTCTGCTATATGTAGTAGTTTCCTCACTCCTCCAAATGCTGCTTATCCCATGGAGCTGTCAAAGGCAAAGCACTAGCATTCAGCAGTGAATTAAAGCTAAAAGCAGAGGTGCAGGTTTTCCCAGGTCTGCACTGCTCTAGTTAATTCAGAAATAGCATAATCATAAAAAAAAAAATCTTCATTACAATTTTGCATCAGCACAATCCTGAAAGTTGGTTAGGTGAGGTGAAACTTTGGTAAAAATGGATGTATAAAACTCCTCTGACTGTATCATTTGCCACTGAATGGAGTTTTCCAAGGTACCACTTTTGTTACTGTAGGACTGACTTATTGCAGCACATTTTTCTTTGGCCTTCAAGCAAAATCAATTCATGAACTATGCAACACTGCTTTAAGGCTTCTTTTATGAGACTAGCCTAATCTACATATGGCATTGTCCCTACTTTACAGTCTTTTAATTGGCTACAAGCATCTTACCATATTGATTGAAAAATTCTTCTTACATTTAGAGCTATAGCTAATTATGATCTTTCTCCTCTCCTTGTCTTCTTGATTTGTAGTTCACATCTCCTTCTCAGGAGCTCACTCCTTTCTTTTTCAGCCTAGAGTTTCCTCTACTGGATCTCGTTCCTGCCCTGTTTTCATAAAACCTCATGTCTAAGCCACTGCTGTTAGCAAGATACTGAATAAGATGGACCTGGGGCTCAGTGGCAAATTCTGCTTTCCAAATAAATACTGGGAGGCTCTTGATAGTATCATTACGTTATCTAAGATTGATTGTGTAGAGATTATTTCAGTAGCAAAATAGAAAATATAAATAAAAAAAAGTCAACTCTAAGTGTTTTGTTTCGTTTTGTGGAGGCTAAATAGAGGTTACAGAAAAAAGGTCAGTCGGTAAATAAAATGCATATTTCCCTATAGTTAAATACAGTAGAATCCTTACTGAAAGGGCTGTTAAAAACAATTGTCA